GTAGGGCGTTTAAACAAAAATATATTACTTTAGGATACTATTTTTTTTTTTGTAATATTTTGAGATCATCTTAATAAAATCCTTAATCTTTTTTTTTCAATAAAATTGGATTATATACTAATTTTTGAATTAGAATTTAATATATAAGATTAGCCTCTGAAATTGGCTCAATTTTTTACATAATTATTATATTCGTATGGGACCGTGGAAATCGTGGAAAACCGAGATTAATTTGAATAGATGGCCTCGAAAACGACTTACGTACATTTGGTATGAGAAACGGGAAGCAGGTGGCCACAGATCATGTAGTCTGGAGAGAAGTTATGAAACAGACTCAAGCTCATCTCGAGCTGTAACGCTATTCGATGATGATGATGATATGGGGCCGTACTAGAGTTTTTCATATAAAATATTCGATTAGTTTTCTCCCTTTTAAAAGAAGACGCTTTTCTTTAATATTCTAGGTTTTGAAGACTATTCTAGTGACCGAAAATTTTGAAATATGAAATTTGTTCTCTTATTCTATGATAAGAACAGGATTTCTATTGTTTTCTATGAGGATGTATAAGAATAATAACCCAATTTTGAATAATAAACCAATTTATAATGAAACTGTATAAAAGACTCGAAAATCTAATCAGCAGAAGCATCAGCTTTCACATAACTCTACAATATCTTTCTCTAAAGTCATAGAAAATTTAATAATAACAGAAAAGATTTTAAAATATTTTTTACTAAATTTTGAAAATTACGACTATTGGAGTCCTTATCTAATATTTTAGAGGTGAAAAATTTCTCGCTTCAAATTGCATTAGCTAAATATACATATATACTAAAATTCTAATTAATTAATTTTGAAATTCTCAAAATATTAAATGAAAATTTATAAATTATTTATAATTTAAAATATGTGAAACTATTAAGATAAAAAATTTTGGGTTCACGATCCTTTTTGTATAATATTTAAAAATTCTTCCCGAAAATTTTATTTTTAAATAATTACTTAACTGTTAAAATTGTTATAAAAATTTTAAAATAGAAAAAAAAAAAATAGAATATTATTTTAGTTACTGTTCATTATCATTGGTATTAATTTTACCCTTTTAGAAATTGGTTTTGACGCATTTTTCAAATTTTTATTCAAAATACTTTAAAAATTAAATTATATAAAAGAATTTTTATAATTATGGTTGTCCGTCTATCTATGTGAATTTTTGTCTTTTTTTGGGATTCAATTAGCATTACGTTAAATGGTCTCTTACTATAGAAATAGGGAAGTACAGTGAATCATTGAAAAATTTAAAAATATACATATAAGAAAACCTTACGCCAAATTTTTTTAGGACATCATACGCATCAACATACAAATGGATTTAACATTGAATCTTATATTATGTTCCCTACATAATATAAAATTTAACAAGGTGAAATCGGCCCTTTTCAGTATAATATGATTTCCTTGAAGTTCAAATATGTTAATGTAACAAAATAGGGAAATGGTAAGTCACGGGATTTGTAAATTTTTACTTTGTCACTCTACTTAGACATCAAAATTTTATTGAAGAATTTAGACCTTTAAATTTTTTAATTTCCAAATTAATTTTCATTTCTCATCTATTCCAGAGCACAATATTGCCTTTATTAAAAATTCAAGAGGAGAAACGAAAATTTAATTTTAAATGCAACAATAAATGTGCGCAACTTTTCAATTAGAAGCAAACCTTATAATTTTTTTGTTAAAGGCAATTTATATTTAGATTTATAATTTGATACATTCTAACATTCTCAATATGACTATTAGAAAAAGAGACCCCCGAATGAAATGAAAAATATTTAACAAAAAAAACTAAAATTCTACTATTTCACATTTAACATGGCATTTTAATGTTGTAGTCATTAAGAGCGCTCTAAAATTTTACATAATTTTCATTTTTGTTGGTAAAATCTAGATAGATACTTTAAAATCTTTGTAAATATATTTTCGTTATTTTAATGTTAAATACTTAATAGTAATTTTTATATTTATAGTGGACATCCTTTTTTTTCTAACCATTCATTTAAAATTATTCAAACATACCAAAAAAATTTTTCCATCATCATCATCATCGTCATCATTATCATCATCCAGTATATATGAAAATTTCATCTATGATTTTTGCTAAATTGTTTAACCCTTTAATATCAAAAAAAAGGACTTTCCGTTTTTAATTTTTTTGCGGATTTTTGTTTTTTTGGTTGTTTTTGTGAAAACTCATTTATTTTTCAATTTCAATGAATAAGTTTTTTTTATTTCATAATGTTGCTATTGTTTTAAATGTAAGTGAATTAAATGAAGTGAACATTTAGTGCTTTTCTTGTTGTACTAAAAGGCATGGAGTGAAGGAAATATGGTTATGGGCGCAGTTGAATTTAAATAATGAAAATAAAACAAAGTGTTTGCTTTTTTGTTTGGCAATGTTTTAAAACAGAAATGGACTTGAAGTAATATTATGAAATCTTCTATGAGATATCGTTAATGAACTTGACTTTTTATAAAAATTTTACAAATTAAATAATGTGGTCAAGAATCAGAAGATTGTGGAAGTTTCTTTAAAATTCGGTTTTTTTATGATACCCGTACGAATGTATGTTCGAAAGGGATACTAAATGTGCCTAACCGGTTGTAACGTTAAGGTAACGTTAAGTAATAATAATCTGAGATATAAACATAAGTGAATGTTTTTGATTAGTGTCAAATTCAAAGTCGATTGAATGGCTGATGTCTGCCTGTCCGTCCGTTCCAGCTATAACTCTGTTAAAAACGAATTGAACTAAGCTGAACAAAATTTTCACAAATAATTTATAATAGTCAATCCAAGAATCCTATTTTAAATGGAGGTGTTGGAGGCAATGGTTCGCGTAGCTACCGTACCACTTCAAAAGTTATTTAGCCATATCTTAGGATTAATTGAAGCTATAATATCGAAATATCGCAAAAGAAAATATATTATTAGGGCTGTTATGTGTGATAAAAAACGTTGAAATCTCTTGACTCCTTGTGGTAGCTGGTATACAATTACTAAAATTACTTGGCTATAACTTGGCTGAAAAAGTGCCGAAATTTTTCATAAATTAATAAAAAACCAGAAGTACTTATGGAAGAGTATGGCAATTGACACACATCACTTGAAATCATTTATCCCGTACGAATAACATATTATCGTTTTTAACTATTGTTATATTTCATGAAAGAAATATACATGTATTTCTAAGAAAAAAGAAATATTTTGAAAAAAAATTTTATTCTTTAATTTTAAAATAAATTTTATTTAATCTTGTCTGTAAATAATTACGATAAAAATGTAAAACACGCAATTGCAAAATCATTATACCCAAGCAAACAAGACTCACTTCAATAAAACTTTATAATATATTTATGTATATATATGATTAAATAGTTTTTCAAAGGAAAATTTTATTTTTCTGGGAAAAAAATAACTTTTTTGTTTTAAGTGTATTTCCGTTCCACTTCTGATTTACAAAATTGAATGCTGTTTTAAAAAAAAATAAATTATTAATATTCAAAAAACCTTTCTCTTTCACTCTTTTAAGTTATATATAAGGAAAATTATATATGTTAAGGCAGAAAAGTTCTGTCTTAAGAAGGAATATAAGACTTTAAAATGAATAAAGTTACAGATTTTCATTTCAAATATTGAGTTAATCGAAAGATTTTTCGCAATTAGACCTCTTTGACCAAGGGATTGTACTACCTAAAGTAACTATATAGGCTTCTATCAAAACTATATTAAAACAAATGGTAAACAGTTTGATAAATAGTAAATCAATCTGAACTTAAGTTGGAAAGCACGGAAAACTAAAGGAATATTAATATTGCAATCTTGTGTTCTTTGGCAAAAAAATGCTCAAAAAAGACCAAAAAGTTATTTAATTCTTTATATTTTCAATGTGTATACACAAACATAGACCTATCAGGGGCACGTTATATAATCTATTTATCCTGTAACATCGTATAATTTCTCTAGTAAACTGGACGGTTTAAAAATCATTATGTTCCTCTATATAGCTAAATAAACTAAACCAAAGATGAAGTTTAACCTGTAATTTTTGTGTAGATAAAGTGTAATCTGTAATTACCTGTAAAGTGTAACCTGCAATAAAATAACGATTTTTTCTGGAAACCATCGAGTATACAACCGAATTATCTCGGAAACAGGCCGTCGCACAAAAACAAATATTAAAAGGTAATTTGAAGACTAATTCAAAATCTTTCAAATTATAAAAAAAAAAATAAAAAAGGGTGAATTTTTTAGTAATTGGTCATTTTGTAAAAATTTGAGATTTTCTTTTTTTTTTTTTTGACTTATTTTCTCAATAAGTTTTTATGTAATGCCTCAAAATACAAACAATGGAGCTTTTTTACAAGTTTCTATTGCATATTAAGTTTTTTTTAAATCGTTTAATAATTATGGAAGTAATAGCCTTTTAAGTCGATACCCCTTTTTGTCGAAACAAAACATTTTTAAGGGGGATTTTGGTGGTCAAATATTCATTTGTGGCTTCCCCCTCTCACAAAGAACGTTTTTTATTTTATTTTTTGTAAAATTGTCCAGCCTTTTTGTTCTTGAGAGATTATACCACGTTACTACAGGTTCACCCTGAATAGGGAACATCCTAATTAATTTCCCATTTTTACCACACCTTTATTTGGTGTGGCTTTTATTTTACCTCGTGTTAAAAAATGGGATTACGATTTCAATAATAATTAATTGAAAAAAAAATTATTGAAATATTATGCAAACAAATTGAATTTTTAAGGTTATACAACAATATGTATAGCGATATTTATACTTTGGACCTTCATTTACATTTTATGTACATATAGTGTTTTTTTTCTTTCGAATATTTTAATTAATTATTTATAAAACACTTATATAAAACATTATGTATTTAATTGTAATATTTTAATAGTATGTATTAAAAAATTAAATATCACTTACATCAAGTAAATACATTAAACTTGCTCTATGTTGTATTAACTCCTCACACATACACTTTACAACTTGTTCCAATTTTGGTATACCAGCTATTAATGTACGATTATTATAGTTCATGTCATCTGCAAATTAATTAATTATTTAAATTGTATTATAGGTAATATGAAAATAATGAATAAACACAAAAAAAAAAAAAATATTTATTATTAATTATGACTACTGTATTACAGCAAATTACATAATTTTAATGATAATAATCACATGAATAAAAAAAAGAAGTGCAATTGTTTGTGACAATTAGAATAACATAAAAAATGTTAAAATTGTTCAATATTTCATTACATATAATGTAATGATATATGTAGATGCAGGTAATTAACGATCTACGATAATTGTATGAGAATTACAAAATATTCAGGATTTTATAGAATGACCTTTCTTCACAACGTATGTTCAACTTTTACGTATGTTTCAAAAATTGTAGTTTAGTTGGCATAATATGTCGAATCATGATATAGACTGACTACTTTGTGGTAATTTAAGAGTACAGCCAATACTATTGACACTACAATTTTTTATTTTTTTTTATTTGTGTTGTAAATTTTTATTACAAAATTAAATTTAGTATTTTTAATAACTATTTTAGCAAAAAATTGAAAGAAAAATTAACTTTAAAAATGTTAACATCTCTTTGAAATTTATTTTTTCAGCTCATCCTAAATGTATGCAAAATATCAAATATTTCAGTATGTGAATGAAAATAAATTAAATAACGTAAACGCTAGATTGTTTTTAACTAGAATGTTAATAGCTAGATTGTATTTCCACATGTTGAAGAGAAAATGATTACAAACCATTGGTTTAACTCAACTTTGTTATATTTTTTTCTTAAAATATTAAAAGTATAAAATTGTAATAAATTTTAATTACCTTTTTGCATAGAACTGGCCAATTCATTACGATTCCAATTAGTTAATCTATAATTATTTTTCATAGTATTTTGTAAAGTTATACCCAATGAATAGATCCACATCTGTAAAATTGTAATATGAAAAATTTAGAACAAAAATTTAATAATTTTAAAAAATAAAATTTAAATTTTTAATTTTTCGTAATTTCTTTCATAAGAGTAATAAGTTTTCCTATCAAATAATAGTTATGAAATGTGTTATACAATATATTGTTATTCTACTATTCAAATTTTCATTTTGGCCTATTATCCTTTAAATAAAATATATTTTACATAGGTAGAGTAAATATATACGGGTAAATTTTTACGGCTTATTAAATATATATTATAATTTATTTATCAATATTATTGTATACTATTTTGAATTATAGATTGATTTTGTATGAAAATTATAAATTAAAAATTCATTTGAAAGGAAAACAAATCGTTTATATTGCAATTATTTAATTAGCATATACAAATAATTTCCTTTAATTCATATTTTATTTACAACAATAATATTATATTTAATATTGAGGAATTCTAATTGATATATTGGTCTATAATGGATTACTTAAGACATACTTAAATACATATTATGTATATATCGTATATTAAATATTCCCATGTTATTATGTTAATAGAAATAAGCAGTATATTTTAGTAAGTGGTTAATTCTATTTGAGTATATAAGTATAATATGTACATATAATATACTAATAAGTATGTTTAGTATTTCATGTTATTCCTGTACATATAATATGTTCACATATTATGTTAATATTTGAATTCAATTAAGTGCAAAATACTTTCTATATACATAATGTTCTAATTTATTTACCTATACTTACTCGTATTAGTGTAATAAATATTATTGTGTAATTATTAACAAATTATTACACGTAATCATCTATTAACTCCTTTTCTAACACCATTTCAATTATTTATTCAAGAAATTTTCAATAAATTTTAATAGTATATTTAAATATTTGATTTATACCTTGCATACTCATAAGAAATTTAAATTATTTGCTCTCAAATAAGATTGTATATCTTAATTGTACAGTATATTATTTTGATGGTTGAAGAAAAACACATAAATTTTCGCAATGTAAAATATTGTAAAATTCTTAAAATTTTCTATAAATCAATAATATAGATATGATATAAGTTTGTAGTGTTATTGTGTAATTTTAAGATGTATTTAATAATTATAATTTATATACAAATATATGTCGGGCACATGTTGTATTGTACAAACACAATATTGGTTATTACTACATAATGCTTACACTTGTAATAGTATTAAAGCTGGTAAAGTTTATAACCTCAATTAGAAATTAGTTCACTTATTATTAATAAAAATTAAAGGTAAAATTTATTTAATTTTAATTGAGTATATTCATTAATAAGAGTGACGGAAATTGTTGATTGTATATAAACCGTTAATATGATATGAAAATACTTAATTAAGTATGCTTAATCAAACTATGCGTTTGAATTCCTTTTAAATATTATGTTTAAATATATAAACTTATTATAGTTATTAATATGCTTATATAATTATATAAGTGATTTGGTATTGAAGGCAGTGTTCCCATTCGGTAATACCGATTTTATACAATTACGAGAAAAAAATGTGTCCAAAATGTATTCAGCATCGTAAAGTAGCAATGTTAGTTTTATTATTTATAATAAATTCTTTAAGAAACAGTGTACTACTTACATATTTTAATTGTAAAATTTGAGATCGAACAATATACGTTCAAATGTAGAAAATTCCGGAATCTTATCAGATTTAATTATATTTGTATCCACGCTTAATTTAAATTAAAAATGTGTTCATAAGTGACATAACATTGTCACTTATGAACAAAACGGGATATGTGTTTTTTTTGTTTTGTTTTTCAAAAATATGTGAAAATAATACAAACAAAGTTTTTTATTAGTTGAATTGTTTGAACAAAAAAATTAAAGTTTAAAAGCAAAAAATGCAAAGACTTCTATGATCTTCTACTTAATATATGTCATCTTTATAATCTCTATACTATTTTGCACGAATATTGTTCTCTAATAATTCATTAGGGTTTTTAACGACGTATTATAAAAAATTTATGGTTTTTGGTTTGCTTTTATTTTTAATTATTAAATATTGGTTACAAAACTGAATTAGCATTTTATATTTGTGTTGAGTTTATAATTTTCTTAAACCTTAAAATGGTTTGCATATTTAATTCAAATTAGAACTGAAGTTAACAGAGTATACTACTTGTATGACTACATAATTTTAAAACTTACACTTAAAATTTACGTTAGAACTGCATTGGGCACAAATATATGTTATTATGCACTGTGTTATCTTAAATGTAAAACTCTTTTAGAATAATTATTTAGTAAAAGATTACGATATTAAATTCTCAATCTAATTCCTAGGTTAAAACGTTTATTCTACTAAAAAAAGTTATACAATTTTATTTAAAATATTAAAAATTTAGTTGTTCCTGTGTTTCTCGTTTCTCACCGTTGCTACTTTTATACTTAAGCACATAAATAAAATATATAATATTTTAATGTTCAATTTTTTAACGACAAAATCTTAATACAAATCATCTTATCGTTAAGTATTTGAGAATTCTACATAAAATATATGATAAATGTATGGTGAATGAATATGTCACATCCTGGAAATACATACTCTATCCTTTATATTCTATTTGTATAAAATTCAAAGTTCAGCAACAACATTGAATGTTTACCGTCATCAGCAAACAAGACAAAAAAAATGACATAACATTGTCACTTATGAACAAAACGGGATATGTGTTTTTTTTGTTTTGTTTTTTTTTTTTATTGTTACGATGTTAAACTCATGCCATATATTCGATATATATAGATTAGAATGACTTAAAAAAGCTAAATAGAATTTATATCTTAACAGGATGAAAAAAAAAATATAAATCATACATGCATATGTATATGTATGAATGCATATGTGTGTATAAAAAACTTAAATAATATTTACATTTTGTATATGCGTATGGTATTATAGAAGACCCGTGACATAAGGTAATTGATGTTGAATAAATTTTTATGGATAAATTAGTGTCAGGTGAACATTAAATAGAAACTACAAACTCATATATAATATACGAGTAATATCATGTTCTTAAATGCATAAGTGTGTAAATTTATAAATATTTGTTTTACTTATATAGTCACTTATACATATATGAGTTCAAATAGCGCACATAGAATTATGTACGGTATGTGAACTCATATACCTAGATTAAAATTTGAAATGACTTCGATATACATTTAAGCTTTTGTTTTGTATTTTCAACAATAATGATAAAATCATCATCGTCATAGATAATTTTCTTTTTCGTTTTGCGTGTTTCTCATAATAACCTTGACATAACAAAATTAACAAAAAAAAAAAAAAATAAGAGTATTTAACTGACATATACACATATACACATAGACAAAAATATCTGAATGGGAAAATATGTGACAAAAAACAGTGAAATTCCTGTTATTTTCCGTGTAATTTAATTTATATGTTTATATGAAATTTAAATTAGAATAAAAAGGATAATGATATTTAAAAATAAAAGCAATAAAATCACACAACAGAAATACTTATATAGTTGTATACAAATATTTTTAACATTATTCATACGCATTTGTCTAGAAAATTTGCAAAAGTGGGTAGCTATTTTTTCTTTTTTTTTTGAAAAAAAAAAAAAAATTTCTAAAAAATTTTACTAATTGCATCTGGAAGTATTTTAAAACAAATTATTTTTAATGTAAGTATCTTAACAAAAGCTGAATTTCGATAATTAAAAATCAAAAATTAATTGCCGAAACAAGAGTTGCTCTGATTCAAGAATTTGCAAAAATTTTCATGCAAAAGGAATTTTGAAAAAAAAATGACTCCTTCATAGCCCTACACGATTTCCAAAAAGTGTCCTCCCCTCTATGCTTTCAAAGCATAAATGAACAATATTTTACAGTAAGAATTTCACATTACGCATAATAATCACTTTTTTGTTATTTTATCTATTGCGGAATGCGGAAGATAAATGCGAAATGAGGAAGGCCTGGAATTAAACTTTCAGGTTATTTTTCGAAATAATTCTATATAAGTTCATACTATCAAGGTTATTTTGTTGTAAATAGAAAAGAAACATTTTTTTGGAAAATGCATAACTAATTTTATTTTCAAGATTTCAATTGGATCCCGGTTTTTCGGCGTTCATTGCAAATGCTTGGTGTATATATAATAAATTAGGCGCAGCAGCTAAATGTAAGAACTCTGTTTAAATATAAAGCAAAAATTTTGCATACTTTCAGGGCCAAAACTTAAAAAAGAAAAGAAATAAAAAATTGAATAATTTTTGTTTATAAAATAAACTCTTAAATAAGTAAGGTATTTATAAATAAATTTTTTTTGAAAATTGGCAACATTCTTAAAAATTTTCATTTTGAATAATGTGTACTTTTTTGCAATTTGATTTCCGAAACAAATTGAATTTTTGATGTATAAATCAAAACAATCAATCTGACGTGTTAATTTAAATCTAAATCGTTTTTGAATTGATATCCACAATTACGAATTTTAAATATCGTAAATATATTCATTAGTCTATTAAAAAAACCTTATTAACACAATCAATGTATAACATAAATGAAATATAACAAAAAAAGTAATTTTTTGAAAATGATTTAAGCCCATTTTTTCATATATTAAGATATTTAAGGTTTTGCATTGCAAGATGCAATAGCATTGTGCAGCAAAATTCTTTTTGTTTATTTTATGTCTAAATAGAACTCTATTGAAATTGTAATTGTAACTGTGGAGAGAAGGTTTAAACCATTAACTTATTATTTTTAAAAACTGAACTTATACTTCTTACAAAAAAAAACAGCTCTATATATCCTTATAAAATAAGGAGTGGTTTACAATTTTTACTTAAAATAATAAATTAATCAAGAATTTTTTCCCAATTGAAGAAAATCAGAGAAATTCTATTCAACAATTTTATAACATCCCACAAATGCTACCCTAAAATATTGTATATACG